CCCCCCCCCCCCCCCCTCCCCCCCTGAAAATTTAGGGCTCTGTTAACCACTTCTCGAATCCCTGGTTCTATTGTTGCGCTAGAGTAGGGCCAAACAAAACCTGCAGAGGCTTGGGCCAGCTTGCATAAGCTGCCAGTGACTTCCAGTAACGTGCAGCTGTAGTGTAGCCTGGGTGGTTATGTTTTTCATAGCCGGGTTGATCGATTTTGGGCGCATCTCGTTTTGTTTTGTTTTTTCCCCAATTGCTGTGGCTATTCCAATCAGATTGGCAATTGGGTACTTCCAGCTGCTCTTGCTCTCTGCTGCGTTTTTTTTTTTTTTTTAATCCTGCTGCAGAATTTTTTTGTTTCCAGTGCTTTTATAGGGGGAAACAATAAACAATAGCTGCAGAGATTCAGACCAGCTAACGTAGGTTGACCTGTTATCAGAACATACCCCAGGACTCTACAACGGATTGTAGCCTGGATAATGGTCAGATACATCCTGGGGAGAGCTACCGTCTTCACCCAAATAGAACACCCGGTCATTATAGCCGTATTTGGGGCAACTTTCAGTCCAGATGCAGCCATAATGACCGGGCGTTCTATTCGGGTGAAGACGGTAGTGCGAGGATGCTTGCAGTTGCTGCAGGCCATGGCTGCTATGCTGCACTCAATGTAAGAACTTCATGCCCCCTTCCGCTTAAAACCTGGATCAAGCTCAGAACTTGTCCATGCATCGTACCTGTTCCATTGATAAAACTGCTGTAGGCGACCGACTTGCCACCCTCTGGCCAAAGAAAAAAAAAAAAGAGAAGAAAAGAACTCAAAGAAACCGAGAACACATACCAATGCCTATTGGTAATTTTTGTTGACGATGATGATGAAATGACTTTATCCATGATAAATGAGAAGCTTACCTTTTGATGTGCCTGTCCTCTTCTTCTTCTTCTTCTTCTTTTTTCGTTTTTTTTTTTTTTAATTAAATAATAAATGTGCTGGAAAGTGTGTGCGTCCCTTACATCATCGATACCCTTGTTTGCATGCAGAATATATTGATGAGGGCAGGGTACACGCCGGAAATTGCTCATGGAACATTGCTAGAGGCAGCGGCAAGGCACACACAGCTTGTGAAGAGCACCGAGCCAGTTCTTGGGACACTGCGAAGTTATCAAGATCTTCCTCCTGTAAGTGTTGCCTTTCTGTTTTTTTTTTTTTTTTTTCCCCCTCCAAGTGTTGCCTAATTTGATGAAAGCATGGAATTGCGTTTTGCAAGTTTTTTGCGATTGTCTCGTGAACCTGCATGCTGTTTACAGACAGACCGATCCGGTGACTTCATGTCAATTTATCGGCCATTTCTGGACACGCTTGTCCAATCGCAGCTCATCTTTTGGACAATTGCGTGCAATAGGAATGTCATGCACGTACATGGGTTAGGAAGCTCTTGCTGAACCTCCTCCTCGCTGCGAAGTATGGTGGTGGTGGTGGGAGGTCTCAACTTCTCTGTAATGCGGTAGAAGTTAAGGAACCAGAGTGCACAGGGAGATAAACAGTGGAAAACACTCACACTCCGTTGGTGGTGATTGGAAGGCCAGCGATGAGAAAAAGAAGTGATGCTGTGTAAACCATGATGGGGCAAAGACATGGTCAAGTGAGTGATTTCTGTGTTGATCTCTTGTGGTGAACTGGCATCAGATATCATGCCTGTGATACTGAGCATATCAGTAATTTGATCCGTCCGACAACTATGGTCTAACAGGTGGATGGATCACTACCTGTGATAGACCTCTCTACCATTTCAACCTGTTGTAAATGACGCCACAGGTTAATCACAGGCTGAAATTGCAGTCTTTTGAAACACCTGTGGGTGGTAGACGACACTACTCATTTACCTTCAGTGGAAATGGCAGGGTGCCATCTTCACCCGCATAGAATGGCCAGTCATTACCGCTGCATCCGGGCTAAAAGTTCCCCCAAATACATCGATCATTAACGGGGGTCCAACTCGGGTGAAGACGGTAGTCCTTTTAAATACCTCTGGTGAATAGACCACACGTCGAATGTGAAAGTAGTCTTTTGAAATGCCGGTGGTGAAGGGTGCCAGAGGTCCACCACAAGTTGAAATGGCGGAGAAGTCCTTTGAAGCAGTGGTGTTAAATGGCCATTGTCGGGGAGTTTTTTTTGGGGGGGGGAGGTGCACGAGAATCAAGTAGGGGGAGAAGGAGAATAAAGAGGGGCACATGACAGTTGGGGTGAAGGAGGGGAGAGAAGCGGAAGTCACAGTAGTGTGGGGTGGAGACGAAGACAAGACGAGGGGAAGTGTGACGGTAGAGGTGGAGTTGAGGGGGGTGAGGCAGAGGACAAGGCACGCCGTCAGGGAGGAAAAGGTAGAGGAGGGGGAGGTAAGCATTGCACAATGTGAGGGGAGGATAGGAAGGAGGGAAATAGAGTGGCAAGGAGGTGCATGAGAAGCAAGTGGGTGGAGAAGGTGAATGGCGCTAGGAGTGCAGGGGAAAGGAGGGGAGAGAAAGGCAGCAAAAGCCACAGTAGTTGCGGAGGATTTGGGGGGGGTGGGGGAGGCGGGCAGGAGCGGATGAGGGAGAGTGTGACAGTACAGGTGGAGTTGGAGGTTGACCAGTCAGAGGACCATTGTTAGGGAGGGAAAGGGGTTGGGAGGTGGGGGAAGCATAGCGCAATGCCAGGGGGGGAAGGGGAAGGAGGGAAAGACCGTGGTGCTGTGCCGTGTAAGCGATAGGGGAAAAGGAAATGGAGGCTAGTGGCACAATGTCGTGGAAGGGCGAGCGGATGGATCACACAATGTCGAGGATGAGTGGAAGAGGATCGGCGAGAAGATCCGGAGTGTGACATGGCATCAGGGAAGAGGAGAGAAGGGCTGGGAGACCCAATCGTAACTGCGGAGGGAGTCCAGAGGTGAGGAGGAGGATGTGGGGAAATCGAGATTGCAATGGGAGAGGGGCGGGGAGCAAGAGAGCAGGGCATGAGAAGGACTGGGACTGTAATGGCTGAGGATTGGGAAAAGAAGAGGAAGAGGTGCAGCAACTGAGATTGCAATGGCAGAGCGGCGGGGAAAGGAGAGGAGGAGATTGGGAGAAAGGGGATCATAATGAAAGAGGGCTGGGGAAGAAGAGGAAAGTTGGGGGGTGGGGTGGGGGAGTGAGACGAGGAGGGGATGCCGAATAGCTGGTTTTCCGCGAGATCTATTTGGGGTAGAGGGGGAAGATGACAGGGACGGTAAGACGGGTAAAAGGGACAAAAGAAGTGGAGGGGGCTATTTTTGGCAGTATGGGAAGGAGGAATGCAGGGGAAGAGTCGAGCTCCGGATATGCCAGAGGAAAAATATGAAATTTGGGGGTGGGGTGAATAGGATGAGGAGGACACCGAGGTTGGGGGAGAGGGAACAAGACAGGGACAATGAGATGGGTAAAGGGGGAAAGGAAGGGGATGTATAATGGGAAGGAGGACTGGCGCATGTAGGGGAGGAGCTAGGGAAAGAGTCGAGTTTCGGAGATACAAGAGGATGGAGATGGCCCATCTAAGGGAAGGGAGGTGGAGGAGGAAGAGCGGGAGAAGCGACTATGACTGGGAGGTAGTAGGATGGGAGGAGAAACCAGAGGAGCAAGGCAGGGAGAGAATGGAGGGCCGGATTGGTAAGGGGAAGGAAATGCATGCATGTCATTCAGGGATCGGTGGATGCATGACTGCTGGAGTGCAACTTGAGGGATCCTTTTGAGGCAAGGTTTAAAGTTGGGTGGATGGTAGATATTCTGTTTTTTTTTCCTGGAGGAGAGATCAAACTTGGGCAGATATCCAGCGGCCTAGCTCAGTTGGTAAGGCACGCAAGTGGCATTCAGGAGGTCTTGGGTTCAATCCCCATTGGCCTCATGTACCTTCCTGGGCAAGCTTGGCGCCCGCCACCTAGAGATATGCCGTTGGTCCCCCCGAGTTGCATTGAGCAGAGACTGCTGATGTTCATAGGGGGAGGGGACCGGAGGGGAGGCACAGTGACTGGCCCATCGAAGAAGCTCGGTCCTGATGCTACCTGCTGACCCCGGTATTGCCCACCTGCTGTAGCAGGTATCGCACCTGCTGGTGGGTGCAGCTCCTGCATGTTCCCTCGTTGGAGGCTTGAGCATGGATGTGGCTGCTACGGGGTTCCCCGTAATACTATAATGACAATAAAAAAGGCCTGAAAGGCCGTCCTGTCCAGATTTGACAGGTAATTGAATTGGTTGGGCTTAAAGAATTAACCTTAAAAAAAAAAAAAAAAACTTGGGCAGATATTCTTTTTTGCCTGGAGGAGAGTATTCACTTAAACCACCAGTATGTGTGTGTTTTTTTGAACTTCTTTCCCATCCATTTTACCAGAACGCGGCCATACATGCGTCGCGTCTGGCGGGATGTACCTGCCTGGCACGTCGCAACAAATACATCCAAGCAAATCCATTGCCTGCACGGCACGTTTTGCCTGGCGGCAGGTGGGTACAATGCGCCAGACATGACACTGGGAAATGTAGCAGGAAGCTTAAGGAGTTTAATACACAGGTGGGCAGGGTATCCCTGGGAAGACTGTGCACTATGTCTTCGCTTAATATGCTGACCATGTAGGGTACCAGGCCCGGTGTTCCCGGGGCATGGAGAAACTCCGAGAAACCTTTTCTTAAGTGTTTTTCTTTTTTCCGTTGCTGGGCCTTTTCTGCACCCACAGAAAGCAGCCCCAATCCTGGCTCTTTGTGGGTTTTAAGTGCGTTGTCCGTTATGTGCAGGGGAAGGGAGCGTAGAAATGGAGTCAACAGTGGCTTAAAGGGGTGCAAACCAACACTACCTCCGGGCCTCTTTTTTCCAAAGCTGATTCCCCTCGTACGCCGAGCTCTGTTGAATCTCCAGAGCGGGGTCTTTTGTTCCTCTTTTCGCTCGCGTCGCCAGCCATCGGGGTTCAGTAGCCCCGGGCCTCCAAAGAACCCGTAATGTTACATTCTCGATTCTCGGCATTGCCTGGGAAAGGTAGTGGTGGTTTAAACTTTAAAGTTTAAACTTTGAAGTTGGGTACCTTAGTTCCATTTTTTTTTTATGTTCTTTTTTTTTTTTTTTTTTTTTTGTGGAGCTCTGAGTGACCCTCGGCTAAAAGTTGTTTGTATTGCAATTCTGCGAACTATGATCTGTCTCTTATACACATCTAGATGTGTATAAGAGACAGTCTCTGCCCCCTCTTCCTTTGCAGTGGCGTTTCATCTCCTTCCTCTTCTTCATCCACCTCCTTCAGCTTCTCTTCTTCTTCCTTTTTCAACCTCTCTTTCTCTCTGGCCATCTCTTCTTCAATCTTCTTTAATTTGGCCGCCTGCTC